AGTTAGCTAATACTTTATGAAAGATATTCACAGTCGGCATTTTAAAATTATAATAATCTTTTTTTTTTTTTTACAGGGACCTTCCGATTTTTGAATCCACAGGAGAACCGACTAATCCGAAATCGAGTCGGGTAGGACCACAAGAGCGGCAAAACTCTCCCTCAAGAGTTTTTAACACTACTGCATTCCCAGAGTTCGAACACGAGACCACTAATTAATGTTTTTAACTACACTTTTATATGTTTTATGATTTAATGTCTTGTTATTGAAAAGCAATTAGTTTATTTATTGATTGTGTGTGTGTGCATGTGTGTATTTAAAAGAAACTAGTATTCGACCTTGTGCATTTGCACAGTAAATAAGGTATTGTGAGTTATTTGTATGCATATAATGATTAATTATTTTTTAACTTTTTTTGCAGGCTAAATTTACAATTAAAGGAATCGGAATATTTTTTATTAAACTGCGTTTATCTGATTAGATGTAATGTATTTTTTGTATCTCTATTTTTGTGAATTATTTATTATTTATTTAGGAATTTTAAATACTTCTTTTATTTAAAAATAATAATTTAAATGTAACTACAATAATAACATCTATTGACCTTATACGGTCAATTCATTATATGGTCAATTGTCATTAGTCAAAAGTTTTAAATGGTTTTTTGTAATTTTGAAGTGATTAGTGTTGAATATTTAATAATTAAATGAAAGATTAAATACAACAAAAGTACAATTTTTGGATGGAAAATATTAAATTGCCACATAGGTAAAATTAAATAGGTTTTATTAAATGCTATTAACTAGTAATTATATACTAGTACGTACCCCGTGCGATGCACGGAACATAGATATTAAATGAGTTATTTTAACAGTCTTGTCCGTTTAAATCTTAAAAGCAATAGTGTTATTATATATTTTCTACCTCTTTTAATCAACGTTAAGTCTAAAAAACAATAAGGTTAAACTTTTTTTCATATCTTTTAACCAACATTATTTTTTAGCCAGAACATTAAATATGAGTAGGTTAGGGCTAGCTTGTAAAATAATTAATATATTATCTCACTAAAATATTTATACTAATAAAACTTCAATCTCAGTATATAAATTTATCCCTTGATATAAGAAAAAGTAACAGTTTTATTTATCCTTCTTCATCATATAATATTTAATTATTATTTTATTATATAATAAAAAAGAATAGTATTAAATAGTTTTTTTAACAAAAAGATAATATTAAAAAAATATAAATATCCATACAAATATACGAACCAAGTTTTTTTAATAGTTTTTTATAAGTTTTATAAAAATATATTATAATTTGTTAGTGTATTCTTCAAAATCGTAATATTGATTTGTAGTTTTTAGAAACAAAATTTTGATTGTTTTTGCTCACCTCATTTTATGGGATTTTTTATGTCAAGATAAGAAGGAAAATAATATGTAAAATAGGAAACTTGATTAAAATTATAAATGCAATAATTACTACTTGATAAAATTAGAAGTTCATTAATTAAAGTTGACTTTTCTACCTACTATATTTAGAAAATAGGTTTTCCTTTAGTATAAGTATAGATATATATAGATGATATTTCATTTTAGTATCCTCAAAGTAGAGGAAATGCATCGAATTATTGAAAGGATTTTTTTTTTTTTTTTTATTACTATTATTGAAAAGGAATTCTGAGCGTGTTTGGAGCACAACTATTGCCGTGGTGCGAAGCCGAAAATATCTAAAGAAAGGGCCCAATCAAGGAATGTGTGCTTTAGCTCGTTTGATATATTATTGGGCCTATTTTGATAGGCTGGTCCACCTTATATGGCCCATCTACCACAAACATGCTACACTTTGAAAGTGCAATTTATTGATTCAAAAGCCTAGAACACTTAGGGGCTTGATTGTTTATGAAATAAATTGTTCAAAATGAATTATTTTGGTTAACCATAATTAATTTTGAAAAGGTAGTATGGTTAGTTGTTAGTGGAATTTTAAAAATGTATTAAAATAGTATTTAAAATAAAATGATTAAATATTCAGGGTTTCCTTTCCCCGAACCCATACGTGTTTCAGCCGATCTTATTGTAACTCGTCTTTTTTTGGGGTCAATATCAGCAATGCAGTTCATCCAACGATAAACCTAATCCCAAATTATAGAGGAAATGGTTGTAAATGATAGGTAGTTCAAAATATGTGAGTGGATGAATAGTGAATTAAAGTTGATGTGATATGTAAAAATGATTGGTTTGTATTATTTAATTGAGTTAAAGTTGAGTTAAATTTTGAGTAAATAAAAGTGAGTAAATTAATCTATAAACAAGCAAGCCCTTAATCTCATTCTAAAATTCATGAGTATGAAGATCATAGAAAAAAAGTGATTTTAGTGAAATTTAGTGACGAAAAAAATCCCCAAATTACCTCTAACCCTAGCCTCATCTTCTCCTTCTTCCGGGCTGCTATAGTGAGGGCGCCTTCCCCAGCTGGGAGCCAGGAGGCTCGTCGGCGGTTGCCTTTTGCCGGAGCGGCCTCTCCTTGGCTTTCGGTGCGCTTCGCCTTTGTGATGTTGGAGGTGTCGGGAGTTGCAGACGGAATTCGCCGAGATCGGGCGTTGTTCTGCGGTGGATCCTCGACCTTCTGGTGTTGCGGAGGTGGAGCAGTTGCGGCTCGGACTGTTCGATGGTGTCGGGTGGTCAGAGTGGCGGATTCACCGGTTTTTTTTTGTCCTCTGAGCCTTTCTCTTCCTTGGTGCTCGGGATTATTGGCTAACCGCTGACCAGTGTTTTTTTATCACGGCCAATGATGTTGAAAGGGATTGGAGTGTCAGTGTGGTGGTGGGGCGAGGCCGGATTGTCCTCTGGCTTAGGGTAGTAGCTGATCGTCTGATTGCGAGTTGGGTTCCTGGGGTGCAGTTCTAGTTAGGCATTAGGCAGTTTCTAGAGTGGCTTTCTGGGTCATGGTTTGGGTCGCGAGACAGTCGGATATGGGGTTGCTGATAGCTTCTTGGTTTTCTGCCGGTTGTGGGAAAGGTCGGATTGGTTTTGTTTAGGTTGTTTGTTAGAGTTTGTGTGTCGTGTTGTTTTTGTTTATGAGTTTTATTTTTTCTTCTCTCTTGTTGGGAGTGTGTTTGGTGTATTATCCAGTTTGAATCTTTTGTTATTCTGCCGTTGGGAGTTTTTGTTATTCTTCCGTTGGGAGCTTTTGTTTATTCTCCCGTTGGGAGTGACTCTTAGTTGTGGTTTGTGTTGTAGTTGACTCTAGGCTGCTGTCGGTTCGTACGCGTAGTCCTCCCTACTAAGGTCAGCTATTCAGCTTATTCGGCCGTTGGCTGTTTTATTCGGATGAGTAGATGTTCGCTAGTCTTGTTTTTATGTTGTGAATATATTTGATTCCTATCATTTCGAAAAAAGAAAAAAAAAAAAAGATCATAGAAAATAGTCATATCCAACATCTGAATTGCAAGCAGTGCCCGAACTCAAATAAGTAATTCCCCCAGAGGTGTTCAATAAACTCATGTACTCGTTAACAAACTGGGCGACATCAACTGTGGGAGCATGTATCGCGATATCCTTCAGATAGCTAAGGTCGTCACTTGTACTCCTCAACAATGGATAGGTACTCTCAGCAATAGGATCTCCTTGTGATTTTAGAATAATATCATCGAGAATGTCACATCAGCACGCCCCTCATTTGATCCACCGATTGTGCCGTCGCCAATGCTTGCAAGTCACTTTGAGAAACGCCTCAACTCATTGTACTCATGAGTCTCACTAGGACTTATCACCTCATACTCATCAGTCATTCTGGCAACCAACTTTCTTAATCAGAAGTGCACGACAATCATAACTCAAATCATCCACCACCACTTTATTCGTGGATGTCTCAAGACGATCGAGATTAGGAAAATACATAGTACCATATTCGCGTAAACTCGTCGCACGTCTACGCGAAATCTTTTCAACCTCCGTTAAAGCAAGATTCATTACTTGCTCATCGCTGATCACCGATTCTGAAAGGACAACAAAAAGATATTAATAAATATTTAGTTAAAAAACCAAAAGAAGCTAACGATAATTGAATCAGTTACCTAGGTGCTGTAAAACTCTCCGACGACTATATAACATGTCATCCGATAGATAACACCAGCAAGTGTCCCGCACAAACTTCGGTTGATCAAGATATTAGAGGAAAGAAGAGCCGCAAAAAGATTTCTCAAAGAATTTGCGCCCGACCATTGACTTGCCTCAATAATTCTTTATATACTCCTTGTCGTCCTCCACCACACTGAAGATATAACACACGTCATGATAGGAATCGTGTTGGACACCATTCAACTTCATATAGTCACGATGGTAGGTTGCACACCGAACAACGCTAATCTAATAGTAAAAACAATATAATTGCGTATTGGTCTAATAGTAAATAAAACTAATATATTATCTTTATCATCCTCCATATATATTATTCCCGAATGCGCTGAGCCTACGTGATTGTTTCTGGTGTTTCGGAATCCTACTTGGCGAAGAATCATGCTTCGTAGTTAGGTTTGTATTGATATATTAATAAGTAATAATTTAGGTTCGGACATTCCATAAATAATATTTTACTAACTTAGGTATTTTAATATCACTTTTACTAATATAACCCTTTAATTCTTTGTAATTTTATATAGTGAGACACTAAGTGACTAATATATCCATAACTTTTGATTTGTTTCCTTCAATAACTATTGAATTCTAAATGTCTTTTAAAAGTTGATAATTTTTGTATTTCTTATCGGTTTTACATATATAATATATCAAACTAATCATCCTTTGATGATCTTCGATTTGACATCCATATTGTATATATGAAATAAATAAATCATATTTATCTTTATAATAATAAAAAATAATAATATTTATTATAAATTTTTAGAAAAATAAAATTATTTCTCAATTGATATATTTATGTTTAAAGTAGTTATATGTTGTAAGTCAAAAAAATTATTATAATATAACACATGTAAGTCGCACAAATAAAAAAGTGTGATACTAAATATATAATAATATATATATTTTATAAAAGGTATTCAAATTCTCATTTACTTTTTCTCATTAATTTTAGTTTTTAAGAAAAAAATTAGCAAGCAACCGTGTAATACACGGGCTTTGTACTAGTAATGTTATAAAACTAAACAGCACGATTTTTCAAGACGAAAAAAAAAAAAATATCAAGAGTTATAATTAAAAAGTATATTTAATATTTTAATCAAATTTTTTATTGTTGAATCATACACACTTATGCATCTAGTCACATAATTGTGCATTGATCAATTCTAATTATATTGTGTGTGACGAAGTATTTTAAATGCCATGGATAATACAAAGCATCACATGAACCATTTCAAACAAATACAATATTCAAAATTCAGCGGCGGATCTACATAGGATCCGTAGGGCGCGGACCCTGTAGATTTTTCAGTAAAATAGAGTACATAAATGTATCATTATACTGTGTTTTTCTTATCACTATTGTTTGTTGTTGTTGTTGTTGTTGTATAAATGTATTATTATATTAGGGAGATACTACGGTCCCGTTACGGTACTATCCCGTCGGTTATTTTAACCGTTAGATCTACGTGTAGTTAGATAAGATCGATGATCCAACGGTTAAAACACCCGACGGGATGGTACCGTAACGGGATGGTAGCATTTCCCTATTATATTAATATAAAAAATACACGTTATTAATTATTATGCAAAATTATTTAAATATAAAAAATGAAAAAAATGTTTAAAATCATTTAACCAATATATTATTTTTTAAATTGTGGAATTTATGTTTATGATATACTCAGTAACTTGTTTATTTCATTTTTCATCCTAAAATACATAGGAAAAACAAATTATACATAAACGTATTTACTATATGGTGATTGAAGCAAATGTGTCTCTATTTTTTTCAAATCAAATATGCGACTCAATTCTAATTATTAAATAAGAAAAACGTGTCCGATCAAAATTTAACCTTATTACTTTTTTTAACTAATTAAATATTGATTTGACCGTTGACTTTCGACGTCGACCATTGACCGTAATTTGTGCCCCGTTAATTTTAAAGTTCCCCTGTTCAAATTTAATACAAATCTGTCATCTTAAACTATTTCAAACAAATATAATAATTGACGTAAAATTTGCACTTTCATTTAAAAAAAATACCATTTGTTAGATAGCGTAGCTTCGTGGGAAGCCATTGCACATTGACTTATTCAGTTAATTATTTTTCACGGACTAAATCGGTTCTTAATGCTTTGCTTAAGTCAAAGCCACAGCGCTCAACAAAAATGGCCGAAATTCCTGTTTAATTCCTTCAAATTAAAAAGAGAAACAGAAATATGCTCTTTTCAGCTCAGATTCTCACAGCTCCTCACCTGACGGCGCTGTTGTGCTCGCCGCACCCGAGGCGCCGCCTCCATGGGAAGCTTACTGCTGAGCGCAGCCTGAAATGGCGGTCCACGTCCGCCGGCGCCTCGTCTTTCGCGGCGTCAGACGACTCCATCTCGTCGGATGATAAGAACACCGCAGCGTGAGTATCGTGTGGTTACTATGTGAATCCGATTGGTCTCATTTTTATCTTTAACTGCCAGGATTTCAATTTTTTTATATATATATATTTTTTTTGATTCTTTTGGTGTTCGGAGAGTTGTGAATTTTGAAGCGATTGGCGTCGGGATGCAGGTTTTGTATAATCGAAGGTCCTGAGACGGTCCAGGATTTTGCGAAAATGGAATTGCAGGAAATTCAGGATAATATTCGGGGTCGAAGGAATAAGATCTTTCTGCAAATGGAGGAGGTTAGTGTTTTAAGATAGACACAAGCATTATATATTTGATTAGAGAAACATTAGATTTTAAATTGCAAACTTGTTCTGCAAAGATAACACTTGTCTAGCACTATTTTGATCATAGTGTCATCTGTTTTATCCTTTCATCCGAGGCATTGTCTTGTATTGTTTTGATCATGGTGTTATTGCGAAATTTCGGTAGGTTCGTAGGCTTAGAGTACGGCAAAGAATTAAGAGCAAGGAGCTTGGAATTATAAACGAGGAGCAAGAGAATGAGCTCCCGGATTTCCCATCGTTCATACCATTCTTGCCTCCTTTGGTAAACGTTTTCCCTCTACATTTTGTAGCAGTAATTGCTTAGTATATTGACTTTTATAACTTAAGCTAAACTTCAAGAGTGATTTGGGCAGAACTCATCGAACCTGAAACAGTATTATGCCACTTGTTTTTCACTTATGGGGGGAATCATGCTTTTTGGTGGACTTCTAGCACCAACCGTAAGTTTGTCTTTGCCTTATTTGCAGTCCCATGGTGATTTTTGTGTACAAAAGTTTATTACCAACTTGGTTTAATTCCGACCCATTTTCATTTTATGTTGGTTGTGTGCTTTCCATATTTTCACTTGATTTTAACATGATCTAGTTATTTTAGTGTTATTTTATCATAAACTTCTTGCTATGAGCTTCATCTTAAGGGTTTCAATAGGTTATCTATAGGCATAATACTTTTTGATAGGAAACTAGAGGATGACTGTGCGAGGAGAAAGTTGGATGTATTCTGGTGTAGGTCTAGGAATGCCACTTCGAAGCTTTATTACACTATAATTTGTTAACTTTGTTATCCATTTCATATTCCATTTCTCGTTGCTGTTATGAAACTTAAAGTTATTTTGACAACTACATCTACTCCTAAAGGTACTTTCTTATACATTAATGTATTCTTTCATTTATGTATCTCAAAACTCTGATGAGGGTTGTAAGCTGTTGGAAAATACTTCATGACTATTCAATTAACAAATTGCTCGCAAGTAGACATTATAGGTGTAGCACAAACATGTGCTGTGTGTTTTGTAGTTCTTTTCTCACAACCTTATTGCTGTCGAGCTATTGCCTTCAAAAGCCCACATAGATTCACTAGACACCGAATCGGAATGAAAACAGAGGAGAATTTGTGTTTGCCTATGGTTCTTTAAAAGTCCACATAGATACTAATCCATGCATTGCCTTCATACTAATTATGTCAGCTCGAGCTAAAGCTGGGAATAGGAGGGACATCATATGGTGATTTCATCAGCAGTATGCACCTTCCAATGCAATTGAGGTAATCTTCTGGACTGCTTCTTCCTTTCCTTCTTCTTTTTATTTATGAGCTAAGGTATGTACTTTTTGTTAGCAATACCTCGGGCATGTTCTATGGCTCTTATTTTTGTTCTTAGATGAACTTATCTTTAGCTATGAGTGGAACTACTAGTATATGTAAATACCTCATACACAACTCATTGGCCAACTAATGATAATAAACACTGATTATTGTTTTCATTTTCAAAATATTTTATCGATAAGAATGGTAACAGTCAAGTCTATTGATTTTATCTTGTGAATTTGTTTTTAGGTTAATCTTCAAAGCAATTGTCGTTCAAATATATTTTGTACTGACTGGCCTTGATTATAGATTTAGATGTACCTATTTGTATGAATGTCCTTGGTCCCGTCATATTCTTTTGGTTCATCTTTCCTTTTCCTTTTAGCCTTTGAGCGCTGGGAGATGCCTTCTGCATTGTGTGTTCTTAAATAATTCAACCGGTAAACTTTTGCAGTCAAGTGGATCCAATTGTGGCATCTTTCTCGGGCGGAGCAGTTGGGGTAATATCTGCTTTGATGGTGGTGGAGATAAACAATGTGAAGCAGCAGGAGCAAAAGAGATGCAAGTATTGTCATGGCACAGGTAGTCAATTGTTGTCATTAATTTGGGTATGCCCAGCTTGACTTATTTTGGTTTTATATTTAGCATTGCGTATGATTTCAAATTTAGGAGCTGCTACAGCAACTACCCTTGAGGTTTTAGAATAATTACCTAAATAAACAAATAAACTACATCTACTTTAAAGTTGCAAAAAGCACCCTTGAGGTGTGGATCCAACTTGCATTTCTCCCCCTTGATATAAGCAAATTCCTTACATCTACACCCCTAAATTCGTCAAAATATGCAAAAATAGCTCCAGCATTTCGTCTGGCTATATGTATATTCAGAAAAATCAAGTATGTTATGTGTGGATGCAAATATGAAACGAATGGGTGGGTTTTATTTATAAAGTTTAGAAAAGTCGAGGGTTGTAATCGTAAAGATATTCGATGAGGTCACAATCCTCTTTAGCTCCGGGACAGGCGCAAAATATCAGTCAATCATGGCAAGGGCAAGATTAGGTTCCTGCTAGGGAATCTGAATAAAAATCTTTCAAGTATGAACTATTGGATTTATTTTTAAAGTAACACATGAATCTGAATTGTTATTCCTGGATCTCTGTTTGTTACATGTAGTTTTTTGGTGTGCATAGTATACGCATATTGGTTCTTATCGAGTTTTGTTATGTTCAGGATATCTTGCTTGTGCTCGATGTACAAGCACTGGATCTGTTGTTCTTACTCAACCAGTTTCCACATTAAATGCTGACGATCAGCCCCTGTCACTACCTAAGACAGAAAGGTGTTCGAATTGCTCGGGATCAGGAAAGGTACGTAGATTTTATATTTATATATTTACATGAATATCTGATTAAATTATGGTGGAACTGATTATGGTTAATCAATAAAGATGGGATGAAAATTATGGTGAAACTGATTAAATTAATTACTCGAAAGGAAGAATTACGTGTTACCGTCGTAGTTTCATTGGATGTGTATATGCGGTATTTATCAAAAGCACAACTTCTCAGAACTGTAATGTACATTGGCTGCATTGTTGAGATTTTTCCGCAATGACATTGCATTTTTTTTTTTTCAGTTTTTACAAGTTATCATGGCTTCTCGGTTTTTTCAGGTCATGTGCCCAACGTGTCTTTGCACGGGCATGGCTATGGCGAGTGAGCACGACCCAAGGTTTGATCCGTTTGACTGATTCGTGCTGGATTGTGGACGGCCATTTGCATTGTGAATATTTTCGTTCACCTCAGGGCACACAAAGATCTTGTTGTGTGCCTGAATATGTAAACTGAACCTAGTTATGACCACATACCTCATATATATTTATCATTTTTAAGGGATTTCCTGATTTACACTTTGTTTCCATCGATAGCCGAAAGAAAATGATAGAAAGAAAGACAAATCGATTAGTTGTCAAGATTACTTTTTGCCATTTGTATTTTCTTTTCTTGCAGAAAACCTCATGTTTCAATGGCTAAACCTTCTGCTTTAACACTCTTCAACAAATCACCTAGGACCTTACTCACATCATTCAATAGTATGCCAGGACATACATATGTTCAATAGTCAATACTATTGCGTACAAGCAATGAGGCACCATAGAGTTAAAATTATTTTCGGAAAGATCAAGAACACGGAGAGACCTGAAGCTAACTGTATTTCAACACACTTCGATAGGTGTAAATCGACTGGAACATGCAAATTATTGATCACTGGCAACCATTTACTTGCTTCAATCAAATTCGCTCGTGTCATGTCCAAAATCTCTAAAGAAGACAAATCGGTTTCGTTAAGCATACTCTTGAAATTATGTTGATGAATCTCCAAGATTGAGGTACTTAACATCTTATCCAATTTGATTAAGGGATTACACCCTGAAATGGGCACTTGACAAGATCAAGATATTGCAATTTTTCTAGTTGACCGATGAAAATTGGAACTCGAGCCCCTTCAAAACCATTACAGCTCTCAGGTGAAAATGAGGCAAGTCTTCTTCATATTGAGTCAAGAAGGAATCAACTTTCGTCCAATTTTATGCCATGATGCTTTTGAATACGGCTGCGCTATTTATTGAACAAGCACACGGGCCTTTCGCTAACATGTCAAGTTAAATTGTTGCAAACCACTCCATAAAAAATGCAAAATTTAGGCCTTTCGCTATTTTTTTGAACAAGCACACAGGCCTTTCGCTATTTTTTGAACAAGCACACAGGCCTTTCGCTATTTTTTGAACAAGCACACGGCTGCGCTATTTTTTGAACAAGAACACGGGCCTTCCACAACAATTTAGGCCGGTCCACGAGGATAATCGGTTGCTTGGGGTCTTTGAGACCATTCTTCAACATCAAAAGAGCCATTCTGTTATTCTTCTTGCAAATCACGGCAGAAAATGCGAAATTATTGATTGTGAATGTGAGAAACAAAAGAGGAAAAGAATAAAATTTTCAGGGTTCTTGTTAGTGAAATACTAATAAAAAAAGAGTGAGATAATGCTTCAAACAGACATAGAATATGTGCTCTCCTAGACATTATGGTTCCTTACTATGAATGGCTGCCCATCTTGCACGAGGTGTGAAAAATCTTTCCGCGAATCAAAATTCGAGGGGCCCTCAATCTTTATATATGCATAGAAACTAAAATGATTCAAATGTACTTACAAAATATACAGAGTGAGCATTGATGATGCCTTGAAGTTCCCATGGCTGATAGTTAAACAACAGGATTACTTGAGGATCTTATATCCCACATGGGAAGTAGAACATCTTTTAACCGAGTGCTGGCTGTATATAGTGAAAAGGAAGTGCACTGGGCTCCATACTTACCTGGACGGGGTCAATGGGTGATCAAGAAGGCCCATGGCCTAGGTTGGCGACCTCCATTGCACTTGGGAGGGGCGCCCGCCTAAGGTCGGCCCAAGTGGTCGAGCCTACGTCATAATTTGTGGTCGTGGGGGCCTGCGTTCGCGCGGCCCCTGCCTAATTCCTAGTTTAAATTTGGGCCCAACTTCCCAGTTTTCATTTGGGCCTAACTGCTCCAATTCAACTTCTATAATGAAAAATCTATCTTTTACTTCCAAATAATTACTATGTTGATTAAAAATGCCATAATTACCAAGTTAATTAAAAATACCATAATCATAAGGATGGTCTTCATTGCTCTTTTCTGAACACTCTTTCATAAGGATATCAGTGTCCTATCAATGTACATCAGATGATTTTCATTTAAATTGTACATTCATAATTAATTCGTAATTATGAAAAATCCTGATTAAATAATTCATCACTTATTCACTGCATAATTATCTTCTGCAGTACTCTATATACAAGTCCTGAAATTTTTTTAATGAAGTAAAAATACTGAACTTAAGATCGATTTCCAATAATGATTCGGATTTGTATCTGGGGATCGGGGATCCAAATTATTTTGTCTATTTTTCGGTTTTTTCGTGTCTTGATACCCTGCAGTTGAGATTGCTTACCTGAGCACTCACGGGCCATCGCCGATGATCATAAATCAACTTTATGAATGGTGTTCTGTATCATGATAAACCAATGGATGGTGCTTGTAAATAGTTTATTGCATTGTATTGTAGTCTGCTTTATGAAACATTATGCGAGCAAAACTGACGGTGTGATTTAATAATAATTTAGACGAAAAATTCAGATCGAATTTGACAGTGTGGTTTAACAGTAACTGAGACGAAAATAGATTGAGTTTATTGGCTAGTTAGCTGATGGCTTCATCTTTGATCATGAAAGACGGTTAATTAATTGCCGTGTCGAAAAATTTAGTTATATATGAAACACGTTGCCGACTGCTAAAACAAGGTTCTTAACTCTCTTTATTCAATATTTTATAAGCATGGATACACAGTATACAAATTAAGTCGGAACAGTCTCGTTATAACCGGAGAAGTTTGAACTTTTTATAATTTACTCTTTCAATTTGTTAGTCTTAGTGACTCAGTCATGAAAAGATCTATTGTTAATCTATTAATTTAAACATGTAGCAGAGGCGTATACTTGCTCGCATTTTGCTTTTCAAATAATGAGGGTAACATGCGTACTCAAATCCAATCGAAACTAATTAAAGAGGAATGGAAAATGAAAAATCTCAAGCAACCTCACTGATTATAAAAAATATAATAATTAGGCCTCCCTATCCTTCGATAGAGTAGAACGAGCAAACATATCGGTTGATGCGTTGTGTAAATGCACAATCCTTCTCCCTTTTCTTTTGGCCTCGAGATTTCTAAATTAATCGCCATGCAGTTCATGTCTAAACTCGAATATCTATACTATCTATACTGGATACAACAATTTTCAGAACTGTTACCATATTCATGTCAAAAACTTATCATTTGTACAATTCATAACATCAATGTGCAGTTATACTTTAAAGCTCGGCCAAATGGTTTTTAACATTTCATATATGAGTGATAATAACTTCCACATATTCGCGGATCGAAACTAAAGAATAATTTTTTTGAATAACATCTCCAGATTCCATGCCAAACAGAATATAATCAGAACAATTTTGGAAGATGTTAAAATGCTTATATCATTTCATTAATAATGTTCTAATCTACCATGTGGAAAAGTAGCAGCACATGAGTCCCACATTGAAAAACAGTACACTTCAAAATGAATAATGTCCAATATAAATGGCCATGAAAACATTTGGCAGTATCACGCAGCTGCGTGGTGAGCACAAAGCGAACTATTCTTTCGCCTTTTACTAAAGAATACCGTGTGTTCTCCACACTACAAGCAGCATACGCCTCTTTTTGGAGGGGATCCATTTCCTTTTGGAAAATGGGCCCTACTATTCATTTTAATTTTTTTTAATAATCTTTAAACCTAGGATTAAGCTTTCTGGAACAGCTTGTTTGTTTCAGTTTGTAAATCAAAGCTATTTTGAGTATGTCCTAAAGATCGATTGAAAACAAAACAAGAGGCTCTTGCCTTCAATACAATTGTGACTCTAGACCGAGACCTTCAATACAACAAATGTGTAAAAATAAAACTGAATCACAAAATTCGTGTAAGCAGATACAAAATGGGTATATGATTTCCAACGAGATCAGAAAAGAAGCAGGTTGGGAAGAATACACCGGAATAATTTAGTACTAATTTTCTAGATTTAAGCGAAAATCTGAATAGTAGCTTGTTATTTTGTGGTAGCTCCCTAAACTTGGTTTCCTAATTGTTTTTCGACTTTAAATATAGTTATCTAGCCTTTGGCATGAGATATAACGAAAAGTTAATGCATTAGAGTCCGTTTTCTTTTGTCTATGTTGCCTATATATACTATCCAGAATTCCTCTGAGTAAAGAACTTTGCGTAAGGTTTAGTGCATGAACCAGCACAAGCCCAGTAATATCGACTGGAATTGAACCAGAAAACTAAACTCGTTTTCTGTAATCGAATGGCATCACTCAGGGAAAACTTGTTAAAACATAAATTTAAAATGATCAGCTTCATTAGTTGGCTTGTCCAGACAGGTACAAGTCCAGTTAGATGATTATGACGAATGTCAAAAACCAACAACTCTGTACACTTATGTAAAGACTATATTTCTGGATAATTTGTTCCAACACAAATGCAACGACTATAGTCCAGTGCAAAATCCAAAAGAACCCGGGATTTTTCACAATCTGAGTATTTCAATGTATCCTTGAAACACTCAAGCAATGGCCAGTTCATCCAACAATCCGTAAGGACAAAAAATTGCCTCGAAGGTTAAGTCTAGCCGAGCTGGGGGACTGCTTTATCCCAAAACCAATCAGGAATGGCGTCGACATTTTACCATTTTTGCTAAGATCATGAAATACAAATTCATCATGTGCTAAGAATGTACCTTGATAGGTGTACAAATCGACTAGTTACAAAATATTATTGATCACTGCAACCAGTTACTACTTCAATCAAATTCTCTCCCGTGAATTCCAAAATCTAAAGAAGACAAATGAGATTATGCTATGCATATTCTCAACGCTAGGCATACCCTTGAAATTATGTGAACAAAAATCTCCAAGATTGAGGTATTTAAGTCTTGACATATTTCCTATTTGATAAAGGATTTCACCCTGAAATTGAGCACTTGAAAGATCACGATATTGCAATTTTTCCAGTTGACCAATGAAAATTGGAATTCGAGCCCCTTCAGTATCATTATAGGTCAAGTCCAAGTGAG